TTTGATTTAATTAATAAATAATAATTAATGAAGTTAACATGGTAGATAAAAATTAATGCTATCATTGCTTTGCATAAACAGTTACAAGAGTCCGATGCTTTTGAAATATATCTATTGGCCCTAATTTTATCTTAATAACACCTGCAGGAATGTGATATTCACAACTTTTGATGCTGTGAAGAACAGCATAATGCAATTCTTCATAAGTAGCCTCAGTGTCTTCTATTATTGGTATATCTTCACCTTTAAACTTTGCAAATATTTTAGGAAGTTTTGGTTTGAACTTATGGAAATTTCCTCCATGAAATGCAAGCAGTATGTAGCAATCTGAAACATATTCTGTCAAATTTTCTGCCACTTTTCTAGCTGACATGTGCCTACCGCATGCACTTGTATAAAAATGAAGTGCCCAGTCTTTTTCTGTAATATGAATGGGTAACAACGGATGTCCATCATTAACTCTAGCATAATGGACATGATCCTTTAACAGTATGGTCGCTTCTTTTAATTGTGTGTTTTCTTTTTTTAACATTTCCACTTCTTCTTTCATTTTATCATTTTTGTCTCACATTTCTCTTTTTATGTGTTCATTTTCTTTCTTCAATTGTCCACAAGCTACAGCTAATAGTGTCATGTGTTTAGTATCAGCAGCATGTTCATGTACATCTTTACGTAATGGCTTATCATTACAACCAGCCCAACTAAACACACAATCTACTGGCTCTAATGGACAATCATTTTTCACATGATCTTTGAGCCAGTCTTTTGGCATATCACTAGATGAACATTTATTGGGACAAGTAACAGGATACTGCCTGCATTCTTCATAATGATTTTCTGCAATGGAGAGAAACGTACCTTCTTCCCCACAGTATTGGCATTCAAATGGACGTTGATCACATTCTCTTTCTTCATGATCTTTGAGATATCTACGTTGCCTTCTCTCTTGACATTTCTCGTATCGACACTTTACTTCTCCATATTGACATTCTCCTTCTCTCTTCTCTTTATTAAGATGAGTAGACATATTCTTCAATTCTCCTTTCCATTGACATCCTTTCTCCTTATTACTGCAGTAGACCTCCAATCCATTGATAATACGTAAACACTTCTTATCGACAAATGATTGATATTCCTTCTCTTTACACATAGGACAGGATCCATTACTTGTTTTTATTTTCTCAATACAAGACCCACAGAAATTATGTCCACAGCAGCTCACCAGATGAGGATCTGTCAAGATATTAAAACAAACTGGACACTCTATCTCCACATGCTTTGGAAGCTCCTCAACAAAAGAAACCTCTTCTTTACTGAACTGAGCCATTGCTACCAGCCACTCCCTTGATCTTGTGTACAGTCACTGTATCCAATGGTAACAGCTAGTGTATAATGTTACTCATTGATATTAAAACATATTCATTTACCCTACTAGTCTATAATTATACTGAGACTTGACACACCCGGCATTGTTATTTGATATCTCCTCATTATTGTTAATCATTTCTTCATTGCTACACACACCAGTGTGTACAGTATCTCATTTCTAACAATTATATAAGAGTAACAATAATTATATTTTGTATTGCTCCACCAATAGCTTGTGATTTAAATTCATATCATTTATCATTATACATTATATTTTAATTGACACCATTAATCATTCTGACTTTATTGTGCTCTATTATGTACATGTACACCAGTACTTCATTGTTCTACCCTATTGTATTGATACTACTTTTATTTTTATTTACTGTTACTGTGTTACATCACTAGTTTTATTCTTCAAATATTTAATTTAAATTGATAGGGATATGTTAGGAAGAATGTTGTCACCGTAATACACGAAATGCAACCACATCAAAACGTGTTTTAAACTCAATAACTCTAAACAAAGATTAAAGCATGTACTTATATAAACAATTACTAAT